TGGCACAAGCTTGCATTTCAGCCCTCTCTTGCTCCTCCCCAGTTCGGCCCTGGCTTCTGTCCCCATTCTTGATTTTGCTTTTTGAGGCAGGGTTTCCCTGTGTAGCCTTGGCTGTCCTGGACTCAAACAGGCGTGTGCCACCACAGCCGGCTCTGACCTCGTTCTTACAGGATTATGAACTCCTGGTTCTTCCCGAGGCCTTCTCCATCCACTTGCCTCACGCTCCAAGTCTGGACATCTCCCGATTCCGCTCCAGCCCCACCTATCGGGACTGTCTCCAGGCCCTCAAGGAGGAGTTCCACCAGGACTTGTCAAGGCGCTATGGGTCTGCAGCTCTGAAATACCTCACTGCCCTGCAGCAGTCCCAAAGCCGGGCCTGAACTGGCCCGGCTGCCCCTGGCCATGGCTTTCACACACATTCCCTAGAGACACTGGAGAGCTCTGATGGGTGCCTTTCTGCTATTTAAATTATTTAAGGTTTTTATCAGAGGGGCTAGGGTGGAACCCCTGTGGGGGTTTCTAGTTCCTTCTCCAGCTGCTGTTCCACGGCTGTGGTCCGGCCCTCCTTTGCCCCAGCTGGTTTGGGGCTAGCTTTCCCAATTCTTTCATAATAAAAAAAAATTAATTTTTTAAATCTTATATGTGTTTTGACTGTATGTATGTATGTATGTATGTATGTATGTATGTATGTATGTATGTGGCAAGAGGGTTTTAGATCCCCTGGAGCTGTATAGGTGGTTGTGAGTGGCCATGTGGGTGCTGGGAACCAAACCCAGGTCTTAATCCCTAAGCCATTTCTCTAACCCCAAGATAAAAGTTTTAAAAACCACTTTTTGCACTCTGGCTGGGGAATCAAGGTCTTTTTAGGGTCTGAGGGCATCAGGGGGCAGTGAGAATGGATTCCAGCTGAAATCAGGACAGTCTGAGCCCTCAAGGACCACAGACTGGAGATTCTTGCCCATGCTTTCCCACCCCAGCCCAAACTCAACACCAAGAGGCTGAGAGGCTTTATTTGGCTTTTATTTAGTAAAATGTTAAAATAAATAAATACAAATTGATCGGCTGCTCTGTACCCCCCCACCCCCTCAAAACAAAAACCAAACAAACAAAACAGAAACTTTGAAGCACAAAACTCCAAATACAAATTCTACCAAGACTGAAATCACAAAGGGCAAGGACATGGACAGGACAGGGTCTGGCTGGCTCTATGCTTGGAGCTCACTGACTTCTGGTCTGCTCAGCCCACCCAGCTGACTGCAGCTCACCCTGGGCCAAGAGCAAGGGCACCGGAGAGGGGTGCAGGGCCCAAGGCTGCCACGTGGAACTGCTGAAGAGTGCCATCCTGGCTCTTGGGACTCTTCATTCCCCAGAGAGGGCCAGCGGAATCTTCCCAGGGGTCACCCATCTCCTTGGGGAGGAGCAGACCAGTAGCATAGGCTGAAGGCGGGATGAGAAGTGATACTCCTGTTTTCTGCCAACGGTGCTCGGATGAGGGGTGGGGCGAGGGCCACAGTCATTTACACAGAGCAAAGTAGCCTGCATTCAACAGAAGCCATGGGGTCTGGAGGACCCAGTGTCCAGAAAAGGGCCACTGGTCCATCCTACTCCTGCCCCTGGGAGGAATGTCCTCAAGAGTTCAGCCCTTTAGTTAGGTAAGGTCCATACCAAAGAAGGGCCTAAAGGGAAGAGACCATTTAAAGGGTGTGAGCTGGGGGCGCTGGTGGTCAGAGTCAAGAAGGTTCCACTAGCCTCAAGAAGAAGCATCAGAGAGGTGGTAGAGGGGCAGCTGTACGTGCAGAAAGACAGCTGGAAACACAGTCGCCCTGGACAGTGCTGGGCACCCACGTACCCTTAACACGGATGGGCATGAGACAAGCAGCAGCAGCAGGAGAGGTGGTCCTAAGAGGATACCAACCGCTGAGACCAGGGCCAGCTGGAGGCTGCCTGGTGGTTGTCCCTGGCTCTAGAGGGACGACCCACACAGGTAAAGCCATCTAGGGACTGCCCGGAGCTGAGTCTTCCCTGAAGGGTGCCATCGGCAGGCTTACCTCCCAGAGCCAGAGAAGGAAGGGAGAACGAGTAAGCTCAGCAGAGGCAGGCAAGACAGCAGGCTCGGAAAGAAAAAAAGGACCATTTGGGCGAGAAAGGTGAGATGATGGTGCTGACCTCACTACCTTTAGGGCCTGCACTTGCCAGCCCGATCCAGGAGACAGGGGGACCCCCAGTCCAAGGCCCTCCAAAGCAAATGCCAAGCCAGCGGCCCTTCCATACGTGGCGGCTCTAAGAGCAATGCACTGCGGGTAGAGAAAGGGAAGATGAAGAGCCATGGAAGCAGCTCACATGGGGCGGTGTGTGAGTGTGTGTCCAGGTGCTCACAGGTGCGAAAGAACAGGAAAGGGGGCTGTACTGACAGGGTGAAGGACAAGCAGACAAGGGGGCAGGGCCCACAGCTGAGGCTCGGAGCTGGGCTACATGTTTCACCTCGCTCCAGTCCCTCAAAAGCAGCTTATTTCCAAACATCGGAAGAAGGGAGTGCACGCGCTCAAAGCCCGCACTCTCACTAGCAGCTCTTCTGTGGCAAAGGCTATAGGAATTGATGGCTTCTCAACCTCTTTCCGCCACAGCTAGGGCCTGTGTGCCAAGCCCTAGCCTATGGGCCCAGACAAGTTCAATAGGGGTTTGGGAGGGTGGGGGGAGCAGGCACAGGGATCAGCCTGCTGTGAGTCATTGATCCTCTGCCAAAGATTCTTCCAACTAGTCCAGGCATCTCCAAAGCTCGCTAACTGGACGTAGCACCTTAGTTTCTGAAGAAGACAAGAGGGCTCTTCTTTGCTCCTCTCAGTCAAGCTGAAGCTTCAAGTCTAATGCTGGGACAATGAATGGGTGGCTGGTGTGGGTGGGCTTACCCACTCTCAGAAGCGCCTCTTGTCTGTTGTTACTGTCAGAATCCAGCTCCCTCTCCCCCGACCTAACTGGGTAAGGAAGAAGCAAAGGGGCCTTTCTGCTACTCTTAGACTCAGGGGCCTGGTGGGCTCCAGAGAGATGCTGCTTTCGGACCTGGGGGCAGAACCTAGGCCTCTGTCCCTTCACTCGAGGACATGGAATAGACAAAGATTTCTAGTGGAAATATGCATCCCCCAGAGCTACTTTCCCTGTGGTGTCATGGGAGAGAGGGCTAGAGAGCCTTTTAGAACCAGTTTCCTAAGACTAGTCCACAACAGCCAAACAAGGCAAGCATAGGGATTCTAGCCCCGCGACGCCCAGGAAGGGTGTGAGAGAGTGGGATGGGACTGAGTTCTGACCCTGGTGCAGGCAGGCAGAGGACAGACCTCTTCTCAAAGCAAGGTGGACTTGAAGGCCACATGGGCTTTCACAGACATTTGGACCCTCAAGGCCTCTCCCTCCTGATACAGCCAGCCTGCACCCCACACCCTCCCGGAGGCCAAGTGTACAGGTAGTGAGGAGTCTCACTGGTCAGTCCCCCAAGGGGCCCCCGAGGCACAGAAATGCTGGTGGCTAAAGACCGAGAGCAGCACCAAGGGAAGGTCTAGGTGGGCACCAGCCTGCACTCTAGCAAGGCCTGAGACAGTGGGGAGGCCCTGACTCCATGCACACTTCATTTCGGCTTCAAACACAGGAGATGAGATCCCTGTACCAAGAGGACAGCACAGTCTGAGGAGGGAGGAGGTGGGGTTCTGGAGACTGGCCCACCGGTCTGGAGACACAAACACAGCAAAATGTCATCATGATCAGCAGGTTCTGTGCTAAAAATTATAACTACACAGCGTTTTCTCCAGTTCTGACACCTTTTTAATAGAAATCACTGTTTTTAGGAAACAAATAGTACTTTTTAAATTTTTTACAATGTTTCTTACCTTGATCTTAAGATCTTAATTTAAATAACACTAGGAAGACCTCAATATCTTTTATTTTCCTTTTAATTAAAAAAAAGTTGCTGTTGTTTTCCCCAGGTACAAAGATTTTTTTTTTTTTGCCCTTGCATTAAAAAACAAAAAACAAAACCAAAAAGAAGTTAAGAACAACAAAACAAAACAAAACAGTGCCCGAACGATGACACAGGACGCACAAAGACTCACTGACCTCACTGACACTATGACGCCTACTCTACCATGCAAGCTCTCGCTACCCTTAACAGGGCCGTCAGCCTGAAAAACAGCTTTTCTATTCCTTATTTTAGTTCTTGTTACCAAAAATAAAAATAAAAAAAAAACCAAATCAAAAAAACAAACAAAAAGAGTAAAATAAACAATGAAACAAAACTTCCTTTAAACAGAGCAAGAAGAGAAACAAAATAGACTTGAAGAAGAGAAAAGGGTCGTCTCCATTCACACACCTGGGCCGCGCCACACACTTGGGCCATGCTGCTCTGCTCAGAACCTTCTCTTCTTATAAATATAGAAAAGGGATGGAGCTTGTTTTCAAGTAAAACCTCTGATCCGCCTTTCTTCCTCCTGGACCACAAGCACCCTCCCTACCCAGCTTCCACCGCCTGGGGACCACCTGGGGCTGTGCACCACACCCAGCAGAGGGAGGGGCTGCTGGAAGCTGTGGGAGGGAGCCGAGCTAGGGAGGGGACCAGCTCTCCTTGCACTAGGTCCCCTCCAGAGACGTTAAATACTGCTTATGTCATATACTTTCCCACCCTTGCTCCCTCCCAGCCCTACCCCATCCCTCTTCTGGGCACTGGGTTAGTTAAATCTCTATTTCCTTTTTTTTCCTTTTTTTTTTTCTTTTTTCTTTTTTTGGTTTTATGGTAGTGAAAGTTTAGGAACAGGAAAGCCCACACACTCTTTGGACTTGTCTTTTCTACCTAAACAAACGGCTCCCAGTAAGGATCTGAAACCTGCTCTCCTCCCTCCGCCCGTCCCTGCTCCCCACCCAACAAAACAAAAACGAACCCACCGTGGCTGTGGAGGCTGCTGCAGGCACACACTGGTGTATAATAGAGAGAGTAAATATATTATTTCACTTGGCATGGTGCTGGCAAAGAACCTCCAGCTGGCACTATTTCATGTAACATGGTCCAATCTTTGCATGTACACAGAATAAGAAGAATCAATTGGCAAACTCGGGTGCCACCTGGCACAAGCATCTTCTCTCTCTCTCTGGAACCAAAGAACCAAAAGAATTCTGTACTTTCCAGAAGAAATCCGGCTTTGCTTTTCTAGAGTCTCCTCGCCACTGGGATTGTGGCGTCTCCTCGAGGGCTGTTATTTAGTCTCTTCGCCCTGGTTACAGTTTGCTGTACAGCTCTGCGAGGAGGGGGAAGGGGCGGGTGTGGAGGCGGTGTTGGCAGGTGGCATGCAGTCCGGGCCATTGGAGAGCGGCCCCACAGTGGCCTCAGAGTCTACAGGTTTGGAGAGGTCGATACCATGGATGAGGCGGATGAGCTGTTTCACCTTGTCCAGGGAGCTGCGCATCTCCTTCTGCCGCGCCAGGATGGTGTTCTTCATTTCCACACATTTCTGCAGCAAGTGACAAGGATGGGTACTCAGCCTCCTGGGCCCAATGACCCCAGAGAAAATGCCCCATAAACCAGTCCCCGTGCACTGGCGTACAAGCCCTACAACTTGTGCTGCTCCACCTGGTGTGGGCAGACACAACCAAAGGAGGGAGACGTGAAAGGCAAGAGAAGGGGGCCAATGGGGATGTGAAAGCCAGCTCGACTGGATACTAGCACTTAGGGTGCTAGGACATAAAAGTCACCATGAAATCTTGCAATGCTCACAAGTGATTAAGAAGCCAGTGATGGCTGGGCATGGTGGCACATACCTTTAATCCTAGGACTTGGAAGGCAGAGGCAGAGGTAGGTGGATCTCTGGGAGTTCGAAACCAGCCTGGTCTGCAAAGTGAGTTTCAGGACAGCCAGGGCTGTTATAGGAAGAAACCCTGTCTCAAAGACAAAGCTGGTGAGGGATGGAGGGAACTGACCTGAGGGTCTTTGGAGGATCATTTACTCATAATGTAGAGGCAGAACATGGATGGGCCAGGAGACCTGAGATAGCTCAAGGCCAAAAGACTCCAGTCAGTGAACCAGGCCCTCTTGGTTGGTTACCAGTGGGTAGTCTTTCCCTAAGCCTAGAAACTCAGGTGTCTAAGGAGTCACTCAAGAATGCCATGGGCTACTCAGGGTCAGGTGAGGCAAGCACTGAGAAATGTGCAGGCACCGAATGTTGCTCTCACGCTGCAGTGGCTACTCTTCCCTCTCATGCCCTGGAGACTAAAGGTCCTGTCAGACACTCAGCGCCTGGGCAAGGTAGCATGTGCCACATAGCCATGGAACCTGAGTACAACACATTAACTCACAAGGTGACCACCCTCATGACAGACTGCAAGCAACTGGCAAGGGCCCGGCCCTGCAGTGAAGAGAAAGGAGAGTGCTTACACTTATAGAACTGCTGAGCTCTTTCACCTTCTGCTCTAGTTGTTCTCGCTCCTGTTTTAAATCTGAACTCCACTTAAGTAGCTTCTGTTTCTCCTCTTCTTTTGCTGCGGGAAGAAGTTTTAAACAATCAATTCTTTAGAAAAGCCTACCTGGCTTAGGATGTTCACCAAAGACAACTACCCTGAAAGTGCCAGCTGCCACACAGCCAGGACACAGAACCTGGCCACCTGGACTTTTCCTTGTGGGTGTGCTGGCCATGGTGGCTTTGGCCAAGCTTTCCATGGAGAAACCACACTTCACAGTTTCTTTCTCAAAAGGTGGTCCGCAAACGTTCTACTTTATTCAATAAAACATTTTTATCTTCCTTTGGAAACAAAGCCAACGTTGCCTTCCAGTGACTTTTTCTCCGAAGGGACAGGCCTTACCTGCTTTGTAGGCAATATAGGAATGAACGATGGCTAAGGTTCCAGGCCATGGAATTGCTTCTTCCTTCTTCAGCATCTGAAAAGAATTTATAATTTTTCCTTGAGACCCAAGATAACGCCAAACGCCAGTGACTGTGGCTGCAGACAAGATCCAGGGAGGCTGTAGACCCATCACTCAAAATCGTGGACTACAGAAAGAGGCAGACACTTGGGAGATTCCTCTATCTTTACAAAAGCCATGTGAGGGGCTGGAGACATGTCTTAGTGGTCAAGAGCACTGGCTTCTAGACATAACAAGATCAAATCCCAGCACCCACACAGCACCTCACAACTGTCTGTAACTCTAGTCCCAGGAGACCCAACACTCTCTTTTGACCTCTGAGGGTATAGGACACCAGGCATGTTACATGCTACATAGACATACAAGCCAATAAAACACATGTAAGCAGAAAATGAATACATAAAAATAAAAAAGGCCATACAAGCCAGGCATGGCGGCATACACCTTTAATCCCAATACCTGGGAAGCGAGGCAGGTGGAGCTCTGTGAATTTGAGGCCAGCTGGGCCACAAAGAGAGTTCCAGGTATGCCAGAGCTACACAGAGAAACCCTGTCTCAAAGTAAAGATAAAAACAAACATTCATTCAACCAAGTAAACAAATGCCAAATAACCTCAACCACTCCCTACAGCTAGAACCAGAGCACAAAGCTGGACATCGGCATGAAGGCAGACACCTCGGGCAATTCTGCCTTTGGTTTGACATGGGTTGCCTGTTTCAAATTTAGTTTGTTATGTCCCTCAGACACGCCTCTGAGGATGTTAAACTTAGGTGTAAACACTGATGTATAATTGGGCCCCTTCGTAGGCGAGTGGGAGAGGTTCACATGACAGAAGAGCAGGGAAAGGTACTCTGGCTACACTCCGTTCGTGGGATGAGGACTGAGGCAGGTACACCCACACTGGTAGGCCCCAGAAGCCCAAGTAGGAGATCCCAAGTTCATTGCCAGCCTGGGCTACGGAGAGATCTTATTTCAACACACCATGGACTTAAGATGCAGCTCAATGGTAGAGCACTCATACAGCATTCACAAGGCCCTAGTGTTTGAGCAGTATGCATGGGGCAGGGGGGTTGAGTCCCAGCGTTGCAAAAAGAACAAAAAAAAGAAATTGTAAAAAATGAACTCAAGTCAGGTTTTATTTAGTTTAGTGTTTTTTTTTTAATTTTTTTGTTTTTTTAATAATTTATTAATTTTCATTTTTATGTGCACTGGTGTTTTGTCTGGATGTATATCTGTGTGAGGGCGTCAGATCTTAGAGTTAAGACAGTTATGAGCTGCCATGTGGTTGCTGGGAATCGAACCTAGGTCCTCTTGAAGAGCAGTCGGTGCTCTTAACCACTGAGCCGTCTCTCCAGACACCTAGGGTTTTTTGTTTGTTGTTTTGTTGATATAATATCTCACTATGTAGACCAGGCTTGTCTCAAACTCAGATTCACCAGTTTCAGCCTCCTGGTTGCCAGGACTAAAGGTATATACAATCAGACCCAGCCTAGAATGCTAGGATTTTAACCTATCTTTTGTTTGGTTTTCTTTTTTTGTGGCCATCCCTCTATGTAGCTCAGTCTGGGCTTGGCTCAGCAGTTTAAGTGCTGGTACTATAGAACTTGTATCACTATGCGGGGCAGAGGTCTGCCCTTTGAACAGGAAAGACAAGTCATTTCCCATAGAAGAAAGCAATTCATGCACCAGAACTCATGAGGGAACTATGCTTTTGTGTGTTCATGCCGTGACCTGAGCCAGGAGAACGGGGACTCCAGAACAACCAAGAGACCCAAGGGAAGCCTATTTCCCAGGATGGAAGGGAAGGGATTTCCATGCCATTCTCTTCCTCTTCACTGGTTCCTCATCCATGTGGCCCACCCCCAGTACCTGGTCCTGACATCTGGGGCAGATCCACATGCCCTTAGGTATTGTTTTCAGAGGCGGGTCTAAGCAGTCCAGGTGATACACACGGGAACAGGTGTCACACATCAGCAACTGGCCGCTCTTCCTGCAAACGCTGCAAAAATCCTCATGGATATCACCCTGTGAGATGGAGAGGAGCGGTAAGGAAAGTGACGAGAAGGAGGAAACTCAACGGACCTTGTACACTGCAACTGCACCTAAGTGTTCCCTGCAGGGAGCCGATGGCACAGAGATGAACCTCCCATCTCAGTGCCAAGGAAAGCAGGGGTTTCCAATGGCACAAAGCTCAGTTTCTGGGGTGGCATTTAACTTGAAATTTAAACATTAAGGACTCCCTTTAGGTCTTCAGATTTAGAGTGAGAATTTAACCCTATAAATTAAGAGTTTACAGCAAAGATCTTCAGTTGTCTGGGCCAAAATCAATGGCTTAGGTAACAGTTTAGCACTTCCAATGCCAAGAATCCAACCGACAGATTAGCCATTGCTTGGCACAGATTCTCTGACCAAAGTGTTTCACACTATGACAGGGACTTATCATATAGGGTGGGGAGGGCAGTTTAAAAAGAATTAAGAAAGAGGCAAGAAATAATGATTTACTGAATTTCTTGCTTACTTGGGGAAACATTCCCAAGTGAATGTTCAAATGGGAAAAGCCCAAGTCAAGAGCAGACAGAACTGATAGATGCTTCTACCATGTGGAACCAAAGATTCCACCGCTACAGCTGACAATGCTCTGCAGAACCAGCATTTGGCATTTGTTGCTCAATAGAGCACCCAGTGGGAAGCTTTATTCTTCCCATAAAATACTTCACTAGATGAGAAAAGCTGCTCCAGTCAACTCTCCCATTCCTTTGTGATGGTTCCAGTGCTCAGGTAAACCTGCTGGGGCCCTAAGGAGGTACCACCAAAACCAATAAAGTACAACTATTCAACATACGGAAACTAAAATCAAGAGTTCTTAAAGAGGTGCATTTCCCCATGTCGATGTCAACCTGTTCTCTGGATGGGATCAACACACAGACTAGGATGACAGGGAAGGGAAGGCTGAGGGGACAAGCTGCAGGACACTCAGCAAGTCAGTGCTGGCACACTGCTTTAAGATGTCCGCGGTTCTGTTAGAAAGCCTGCCACAGAACTGCACAGGAAGCAGCAAGACAGAAAGCGATGCCCAGTCCCTCCGCTGCTTCCACACCACTGAGGGAACACATCTTCCCAATCATACAGGCATTCTGGAAACTCCCTTTGTGTGAACGTGTGTACACAGCTTTCCAGCCCCATCTTTCAAATTTCACATTTACACACGCTATCGCAGTAGTACCTAGTGTTTGTGAGTCTTAGGATTTCTGTGTACTCAAATCACAGAAGAGCACTGAGTTAACTACAGAATCACAGAAGGTTACAACAACACTACACTAGGAACAAAACACAAGTAAGCGTTAAATAGCTATGGCATTACATGGAAAGCTGTGTCTGGAAAACCCCTGTCTAGTCTTAAGAATGAGTATGGAAATGATGCCTGATATACTAGTATTTTTATGTGAACAATTTTTGTTTATATACCCCTGAAAAGTGCCAGCAACTCCAGACCACATTTTGAGAACTGCTCTGGCTTAACAGTTTAAATATAAAATTCTGGTTCTGTTGCTCTCCTTGTGGAGTTCCTGTCCTCTCCAGATCTGTTTCCCACTTCTTTATAAGATTCCCTGCACTCTACCCTAAGGTTGCCCATAAGTCTCAACATCTGCTTTGATAGTCTGCAGGGCAGAGATTTTCAGAGGTCCTCTGTGTTGGGCTCCTGACTTGTTCCCTCTTTTCTCCTTCTGATGTCCATCCTCTTTGCTTTTCTGGATAGGGATTGAGCACTTTAGCAAGAGTCCTCCCTCTTGATTAGTTTCTTTAGGTGTACAGATTTTAGTAGGTTTATCCTATATTATATGTCTATATGAGTGAGTATATACCGTGTGCATCTTTCTGCTTCTGGGATAGCTCACTCAGGATGGTCCTTTCTAGATCCCACCATTTACCTGCAATTTTCATGATTTCCTTGTTTTTTATTGCTGAGTAATATTCCATTGTGTAGATGTACCACAATTTCTGTATCCATTCCTCCACTAGGGGCATTTGGGCTGTTTCCAGCTTCTGGCTATTACAAATAAAGCTGCTACAAACATGATTGAGCAAATGTCCTTTTTGTGTACTTGAGCCTCTTTTGGATATATGCCTAGGAGTGGTATAGCTGAATCTTGAGGAAGCGCTATTTCTGGTTGTCTGAGGAAGCGCCAGATTGATTTCTAGAGTGGTTGTACAAGTTTACATTCCCACCAGCAGTGGAGGAGGGTTCCCCTTTCTCTACAACCTCTCTAGCATGTGTTGTCACTTGATTTTTTGATCTTAGCCATTCTGATGAGTGTAAGGTGAAATCTTAGGGTCGTTTTGATTTGCATTTCCCTTATGAGGTCTTTCCTGAGACTGATACTCCAACCAAGAACCATGCATGGAGATAACCTAAGACCCCTGCACAGATGTAGCCCATGGCAGTTCAGTGTCCAAGTGGGTTCCACAGTCATAGGAACAGGGACTGTCTCTGACATGAACTGATTGGTCTGCTCTTTAATTACCTCCCCCTGAGGGGGGAGCAGCATTATCAAGCCATAGAAAAAGACAATGCAGCCACTCCTGATGAGACCTAATTGACTAGGATCAGAAGGAAGGAAAAAAAGACCTCCCCTATCAGTGGACTTGGGGTGGGGCATGTGTGCAGAGGGTGGAGAAAGGGAGGCACTGGGATGGGAAGAGGGAGGGAACCACAGAGGGGATACAAAGTGAATAAAGTGTAATTAATAAAGAAAAAAAATAGATATAAAATTCTAAGAATGTCAGAATAAATATATAATACAGAGACAGTTCACCCATTAAGGTCAGTCTTTGCCTAAAGGGTAGCGATCAAAACGCTTAATTCTGGTGACAGGACATAAGCAAACGGTAAGCTGAGCAGTGCCTGACCATGACATTGCTAGGAACATGCTGCCTCTACCAACTTTACTGTGTGCTAAAAATCTGTAATGAGTCAACGTATCTTCCCTTCCCATAAAAATGACAGCAGCAACAAGGTACATCCTGAGGACCAGAGCCTGGCTGGGTCTTGTATTACCAAGCCCTTCTAGATGGTTATTGATCCCCAGGAAATGCTTAGCTCTCGACTGTTATTGTGTAATTAATGTCGAGGCTTATGCTACCCAGCAGCAAACACAAAGAACCCTGTATGTTGATTTTAATCATGGCTACTGTTGGGATACTGTAAAAGTAGGAAGTCAATTATCTCTTTAAAAAAAAATGTATCCCACTGGGTTTAACTTAGGAAGTTCTAAACATTTTTAGTGGATTCAGAAAAGCATTATTTTAACCTTAGATTTCTGAAAAGACCAATGTTTGCATTTTAAGATGAAACCTGGCAAAAGTGTTTAGTTTGTGATTTAACTGGAGGGGATCTTTTAGGTCTAGCCTGTAAAATAATAATAATAATAATAATAACAAAAAATAATAAATAAATAAATAAAATAAAAAATAAACTCAACCAGAGAACCTAGATCAAGGCAACATGGTATACCTAAGACACTTGTGGGCAGGGGCTCAAAGCCCCTCCACGGCACTGTGCACAATGGCACAGGGAGGCAGGGAGCTGCTCACTTCCTTGGCCACACCTGGCCTGGGGAAAAGCTGGAACAGTCTTAAGTACCAGCAAACATGGTTTCTGACAGGGACTCCTGGTGCTCGTCAGCCTGCCACCAGAAAACCCGCATCAGTTACTAGGGTTAAAGGTTAGGAAGGATGGATGGAATGCCAAGTCTTTAGAACCAGGATGAGTGTGGCACCAGCCATGTCCAAGGAAGAATCCTTCTGGGAATTGTGACCCCAATTCTCCAAAGATAATACTTTGTTTGCTGCCTCTGGAACTCTAACTTAGGGGTTCAGGGAGAGAGTTGCACCCTTAGTAAGTCATGAGCACCTTCAACTTGAAGGAACATTTCACCGGAACACGGTAAACAGGCTCTGCAACTCCTAAGGGATGAGGGCACGAACATTGCTCTGTTGCTTCAGGCTTGTTCCTCTCATCTTCAGTAAATGGCAATGTCACCTTTCTCCATCTCTGTATCTACTACTCCACTAGGAGCACCCAGGTGTCAGCATCCCTTCCTGGACCACCACAACAGCCTCCCTACTTTATTCCTTTCAAAAACCAGACAGTCCCATAAGCCTCAGGACCACCAGAGGAGGTTGAATTCTTTGGGTAACAGTCTAGCAGACTCAAAGCTCCAACTCAAATGTCTCCAGCCAGAGTGAAAATAGACCTTTACAGGTGAGAAAATTCAATGGAAATTATCTCAAGATGAATGTTAACATCGACAACAGGTTGATGCCACATACCTCCTGCTGTGGTGCACTGAGGATCTGTCATCCCTCATTCTAGGATCCTTTCAAAAACATAAGCTTCAGTCTATTCTGGGAAGAACTAGCACAATCCAGTAGGGCCAACTCAATAGAGTAACTGTCCCATCAAAAAAGACACCACCACTGGGGAAGACGAGGATGGGCTAAGAGGGCCTGGCAAGATGTCTCAGTGAATGCATGCACTTGTCACCAAGCGTGGTAGCCTGAATTCAAGCCTTGAGATCCAGGAAGTGGACGGAGAAAACTGACTCCTAAAAGCTGTTATTTGACCTCTACACATGTGCCACAACACACACACAGACATAGATCACATACTCTAAATGAGTAAATTGTAATTAAAAAGAAGATGGCCTGAGAAGCTATTTCAGAATAAAGGAGAATAAAGAATTTCACAACAAGGATAAGAATATATGCCAAGAGTGATTTGGACAAAGGTGGTAACTGGGACAAGTAGAAAAACTGAAATATGACTTGCATATTACATACTAAGATGTAACCAACATTAAAATTCCCATAATGCCATAACCACATGGTGGCTATACAACAGAATACTGTTATTCTTACAGGTGAAGACTCTCTTCCCTGGTTTTTGGGAGACAGGGTTTCTCTGTGTATCCCTGCATCCTGGAACTTGATCTGTAGACCAGCCTGACCTCCTTTACAGGAGCACACCACCACATCCCACTTAAGATGGAGATTCTTAATTGACTTGGAAAAAATGTGTGCATGTGCAGGCGGGTGCAAGCATGTTAAGGAAGACTAGATGGAGCAAAAAGCTAACTGATGAGGCAGAGCAAATTGAGACTCTGTCCACTGCTGCAACTGATCTACAGGTGTGAGAACTTTCAAAATAAAACAAATCATTGGAAATTGGAGAATTATGCCAATCCTTTACTCAAAGCCCTCTGGTGGTTTCCCTCTGGAGCCTCCCATGAGCAGGCCTCTCTAGTCACACCTCCTAGGCATTCTGAGAGGCCCCCTCTCCCTCTTCACAGGTGATGCCTTTGCCTTCCTGTCACTGCACCTTGTGCCTTACTGTCCCGTTTCTCAACCTGGTGCTCATCTCTGCTTGAGGAACACCCAAGGAACATATTTGTTCCCTTGTCATCTACCTCTTCCTATAGAACACAAGGCCCCAGAATGCTTATATTTTGCCTTGTTGCTCCTTGCTATATCCTTCGCCTCAGGAGCAGCTCTTGCTCAGCAGAACATGTAAGTGCTGGGACCTGCCTCTGAGCAGATCCACCACACACAGTAATGGCTGCACTTCTGGAGGTGCGCCTGCTGTAGTAGCAGCACTGCTGGAGGCATCTGCCCTGCTCCTGTTCTGTCTCCAGAACAACAATGACAGAAACCTCTTAACTATATAGCCCATGTCCCCAACCTCCTCTGAGAGCTCATTCACAGTTGATCAAATCCAGACTCTGAAACTCTGGGCTCTCTGGATTTATGTGAACTTGACTCTCAAGGATGCTCAACAGCTGAGACCCTGGAAGAAAGCAGCCTGGCATGGTATGCAGGCATTCTGCATGGTCACCTGCTGTTCCAGGGCTAGCAAGGAATCAGGTAAGGAGGCAACACAGGACAATGGTTTTCCCATGTGAGCTCTCGGAGAGAGTGCAGGTCCCCAAGTTACTTACGTCTGTGGAGGTGGGGCTGGGCAGGGACACAGGCTGCACAGGTGCAGGGAAAGTGAATGTGGTCTCTGTCTTTTCATTTTCAGGGGAGTCGGGATGACTGGATGGGGGGGATGTTGGGGTAAGGGCTCCAAACCCCAGCACTGCATTGTATTTTGGAGGACGACCTATATACCAAAAGAAGGGAACAAAAGGGGGGAAGGGGGAGGGAAAGACAGGGGGAAAATGGTCTTACATACCTTTGGCCAGTGTTCCTCATTGGCTAGCATGGAAAAGGAAGTGAGGTAGCAGACAGAAGGTTAATACACAGGTCAGAGGAAGAAAAAAAAAAGCAAAGATTTCAATGCCATTAGAAACAACTACATGAATCCTAAAAGAAAGGAGGAGAAGGGAGCTTTGGAGCATGGCAAAAGGTGCTGACATTTGTTTGGTTTATCTGTTCACCTGTTTTATTTTTGTTTTTCAAGACAGGGTTTCTCTGTGTAGCCCTGGCTGTCCTGGACTCACTTTAGAGTAGACCAGGCTGGCCTCTTAACCCACAGCGATCCGCCTGCCTCTGCCTCCCCGAGAACTGGGATTAAAGGTGTGCACCACCCTGCCTAGCTAGTGCTGGCATTTGTAAGGAAACCTCATCTCGAGCAAATTATGATCATTCCTGGACTATCAAAATTAGGGGTTTCTAATTGCAGGAGCAGGCATAAAGCAAAGGAGGCTGAAGCCAGTACAAAGTTTATCTTCCATGTGTTTTGTGCATTAGTCACTAAAGCTTTTCTGCTATCACTCCTAATGACCTTTTGTTCTCATGAACGGATTTACAGTGGACTCACAGCTTCCAACACTGGGTACCCTTTACGGTGGTCTGAGAGCTGCCTCCCTGCTTCACAACACCAACAGTCATGAATTACATGTTTAAGGACAGAACAAGGCATTTTCTGGAAAAGCCCAGGCCGAAGCAGTCTACACACAGTCTAAAAAAAGCAGAGCCCAGGCAGGGTCACAGGAAGTCTAGGGCTCACCTAAATCAAGATCCATGTCACCTGAGAGTTGGGTGACAGCTTCTAAGTGTGAGTGATCATATACAAACCCAACACATCAAAGTCAGGAAATGGCAGTGAAGCCTGACTTGCCAAGCAGCACTGGTGAAGGCTTTCCTACCAATCAGTTTATGTCAGGGTCATACATAGGTGCCAGCCAGATGTCACACTAGCACTACCTGTGTCAGTTAGACAGAGCCTGAGTTACAAAGACAGATTCACCTGGTCTTTCTCCAGAATATCTAGTGCTATTTGGAAAAAACCCGATAACAAATCCTCTTTGCTTACCCACACAAGACATATCCCAGGCACTTGAATGAAGGCTTTAGCCTCTTGCCTCTGATCTTCCTGGCTCATTTATCCCCTGTCCTCTAAACTACCTCCCAGCCAGCCAATTAATTGAGGCATCTGGCTAGGGACCTCTTATCTGAGAATTGTGTGATCACTAAAAAAAAAAAAAAAAAAAAATAGCTGAACACAAAACCAAAAAGTAACTTATGGCTATGACCCAGAAGCCAATACAAAGCAGTAACTTAAAATTTCCCATCTAGATGGGTTGGTTACTTGCAGGGCAGTACTGATAAAGGATGACTCTTATCACTGAGGCTGGCTGCACCTCAGGAAGACAATGGCACATTGGCAAAGGTCAAGGTAACCCCGGAAGTCTCCAAAGGCTCTGAGAGTCTGTGTGTATGCACAAAGATCAGTATGCTAGTCACTCACTCTGCAACCTTTCCAGTCTGCAACTGTAACTCAGGGACACATTACCACATGGAGAAAAGGGACCTTGGGATGCATTACTGACATCCGAGAGTGATTTCAGTACCTTGTTTATGAGTCAAAGCCTGAGATGAAGACCTACTTAGACCTGCACAGTGAGAGCTGCTGCTGTTCCACTCTGCCTAGAGTATGGTCTGGAAGACGGGAACAGCGTGTTAGCAGTCTTTGCACTGGGGAGCATGTTTTAACAGCATTCTTTTCTTCCTTAGCTGGAGAAGCTCCCTGAAAAAAGATTCTAAGTTCTCTTTTTGGACAGTCTGCAGACCACAGGAATTAAGTCCCATTCTACCCTCACTGGCAACAGGAAGTCTGAAACACTATTAGGAACACCTTGGCAACAGCAGTGCTCAGCTGCTTAATGATGCTAAACACTTCCTTTCACGAGATGTTCTGTTCACTGAGCTATTCATGGATGGCCTGGTAGGCTTAGGGCAGAAATGCTGCATTAAGCCGTTCTCTTGAGCCAGCTTATCCAGGACCCAGAAAGTCAGCTTTAAGACCTGTGTTCAGAGCGCTAAGAAATCTCTCTTTTCCTCCATGTTCTCAGAAAACAAAACAAAACAAAACAAAAACTATTTTGAACACATAGAGGAGCTAGGTTCTAGGACAATGGTAAAGAGGGAGAAAGAAGGAAAAGAAACACAACACAGAAAGCAAAGGCAAAAGCAAACAGGGTTTTAAAAAGGCACTCACCTCTCTTCCGTGTCCCAGGATGCATTGTGCTGTTAAGGTAAGTGACTGCGCTCTTCTTACGCTTTGGAGATTTAAGAAGAAAAGGTGACTATAGAATAGCACGGTTATCAAGAACACTGCAAACTTGCCTATCACATGCTAACCAGTCAGCGCCAATCATCCCAAGGTTTCAGTGTTAATGAATTTGATTATGTGTACTTGGCTCTGACAGAATACGCCAAAGGGGCCTGGCTCTGCTCCACAGTGTGGTCACACCAGGATTAAAACTGTATGGTAAGAGTGTATCTACTCAAACTTCAAAACTTTAAGAGGGGAGCAGTGACTGATAAAACACAGTGGAGTTGTGAGCAGAGAGAAGGCCATCGCATCACAGAGCTGAAGAGGCTGAGTGCAGACAAAACTGCTCTTAGCAGGCTTTCAGGGGAGGGACTAACAAGCCACAAGTGAAGCCTGAGCACGAGAAAAGGACATTGCTGGCCGAAGTACCTCTGGCTCAAAGACGGCCCCACTGTACACTGGGTTTGCTGTTGTTCTTCTCTTTCGCTCCTGCCTCTTGCTTTGGATTTCTTGAGAAAAGAAAAGGCTTTGGTTAGAAGATAAAAATGAACAAACTAAGAAACAGATGTTCACTCTCTAATGTACTGACTCTCCTGCAACCAGAAAGCAACAGGCCTTTGTCTCACTATGGCCTCAGCAGAAGCAAACACACTGAGTTGTGGCTCTCAGTGGGTAAGACCACGCTGTCCTCCAGCGTGCCACTCTGTGAATGAGAGCACTGCCATGGACCACACTTACAAACAGCCTTTCTCATTTATTTTTAGGCTGCTGTGTATACAGGTCTGCATGAGCTGTATCTACAGACGACAAAGCAAAATTTATCAGTCCTGAATTAAATAACAAGGGCAGCGAGCTTTGTAACTGTCCTTAGGATCCTGATGTCCAGACACTGGAAATTAGAAACAAGACTTCTCACAGGAGCACTTGCTACTCTGTTTTGAGACAAAGACCAGAAAAATCACCTTCTTTCAGGATTCTGGGAAGTTTCCCAGAACAGGAGTATGACTGATCCTAGCAAGGGGAAGGCCTGGACATTACATGGACAGGAGGCATTTTTTTTCCCCCTCAAAAAGATATCTACTCCACATATAGCTGAATCATAATCTATTTGTGTTCCAATTTTCTATTCTAGGAATTCAGCAAACATCACTTTTAGGAACAAAGCTAGAAAGAAGACCATGCTAAGAAAATCTCTTACCTTCTAGATGGTCATGTGTTACCAACCCTAGAGACACCATGAAGGCAAGTTTCTGTGCCAGAGAAACAAAAGAATGTATTTCAGTCTGGGATGTCACAAAGCTGATCACAGCTTTCCTAGTCAGAGAGAGCAGGGCAGCCACCCTGACTTGCTAGAGTCACACGAAGGGCTGACACAGGGGCTTCCTGCTCAGGAGTGATAGCAGTTTGGACTTTTTGCCCTGAAGAATCTTCTTAAAGAGTACTCATGGTGGGAAAGCATACAAAGGAACTACAGAACCTCACAAACAGCAAGCTAAGAGTTCCAAGCATGCCACTCTTTACCTCAAGGCTGGTTCCTCACATTACTTCCACAGCCAGACAGTAGAAACACCGGCCAATGATTTTAGGGTTCCGCTTAATACTAGGATTTCAGTTAAATGTGAAACTTAAACATTATGGGGCAGTTTTTCTCTATCTGTATCCCTAAGATAGAATGTAAGATACTTTAAACTGCAAAGAGCAATGGACTGATTGCTGTTCGTTGCTTTGGTTGGCTGTGATATGAAAAGTGTGTCTTCATTGTCTACTGAAGCACATGCTTTTAAATACCCCTAGTACGGAGGAGGAAATGTTCTCTCTGAATAAACACCTTCAACTATTGGGTAACATATTTCCATGGAATTACTAACAAACAGTTTGGTCTTCAAACACATGGGAGCACACCTGCAGTATACACACACTGACGCATGCATGCACGCATGGATGAACTCCTAAAGTCCCCACACTCCTGGCTGCCTGCATCTCCTTCCGCCCTGGTCTCCGGAAGGCTGGGAAGAGAGGCACATGCCTCCACTGATAGCTTCCTCAAAATTCTGACCTTCTAGGAAGATATCTCAGTGGTCAAAACTACTGGGTGCTCTTGCAAAGGGCCTGAGTTCAACTCCCAGCACCCACATGGCGGCTCAACCATCTGACTTCCATCATACCCTGCAGACCTGCAGGCAAAACATTCATATACTAAAATTAAATTAAATAAATATATCTTTAAAAAAAATCTTGACCTTTTACTCTTGGCAGTATAAAAAAAGTCTGGCCCATTTGTATGAAGCCAGAGGCTCAGCCTATTTAATAAGCCTAGCACTCATTTTCTGAACAGACTGCTGGAGAACTCTGGTCCTTTGCTGCTATCTTCAGAATTCTGAAAAAAAGTGTTTTTGTTTTCTTTCTTATTTCAAATATTTGTCCCTTCCCTGACAAACAAACAAAACCTGAGATGGACAACTATCTCTCTGACAGGAACAAAAATTGAGCAGGGTAATGCAGGTTGCCCTTTCTTCAACACTGCATGCTGAAATGATCTATTTGGTGGCCAGCCAGATAACCACATTGCCAACATTGATCCTTTAAAGTATATCAACACAGAGGCTGTCCACCACACTCTCTGTAGCAAACCTCTCCATACCACATAATAGCACTCTTTGTCCAGGCACATCCATCCAGGTCACTTCTGCCCATCTAGACTAAGCTCACAAAGAATTTCTTGGATGAGAAAAAAGGTTACCGCTCCCACGTATTTCCTTTCTTTTTCAGTTTTAGACAGAGTTTCACTATGTAGCCCAGGTTGCCTCAAATCTACAATCTTCCTGCCTCATTCTCCCAAGTGTTAGAATTACAGGTGTGAGCCACCACCCCTGGCTAGAACTGGTTTACAATCATAAAGTTGTAAAGCAGTGCTCTCGCTCTCTGCCTCTCTGTCTCCCACTCCTCTCCCACTTTCCTACACAGAGTGGTCTTAAAAGGACCTGTTCACCTGGAAGCTACATCTGCTTCTGCACTTTGGCACCTGCTATGGGTCACTGACATGAGATCTCCTTTCGTTTTACAAATTGTGCCGTTTGTACCTGATGGTAATTGCTTGTGACCCCAGCACCAGGCAGGCAGAGGCAAGTGGACTCTACAAGTACAAGGCTAGGCTGGGATACACATGGCCAATTCCAGCTCAGCTAGGGCTACACAGTAACACCAACCTCAAAGAAGTTTTTCTTTTTGCTGATAGCTTGTTCTGTTTCCTCCCAGTGTATTATTTACTACTACATTTGTGAATGATTTTACAAGTTTTCAGCAATTTTTGTAACCAGTGGTTCTTTTTGATTCAAGTTCTGGCCCTTTCAAAATTACAGTTGATTTCACATCAGAAAGAAGTACACTTGGCACTTGCTTTATCAAAACTGGGCTGTTTCAATAGGGCTTTCCTTTTTTGATTTGAAGAAACACACACACACACACACACACACACACACACACACAGGAAACTTTGCTGGTTGTCTGACACAGATTTGATATGGAGAATGTGCTGAGAAGAGCGTGGATGGATCACTAGTGCCCTAACACCATCACCAGCTCTTCACCATCATAATCACACCACCCCTTGTGTTTTCCTTTAGAGCTGCCTGGGCAAGCTAGAATGTCCTCTTGTTCATGGACACACAGTCTTTGCTTGTGCTGGGCTTATGTCACAGTATGTACGTCACCATCTTCAGTCCACTCACGCCCAGTGTACTACTTGGAGCCAATGACACCTTTGGGTCTTAGGGCTCTGGTACAGCAAAGTAGTCCTAACAAACCAAACACACAATGGCAGTCCACAGTGTGAACTGACATTAGCTGAGGGAACGTCTGGCTGAGTCAGGCACAACATGCCTTCCTAGGAATTGAACAGGACAGCTGGGAAGCGGCCATTAACCTTCTGCTCCTTCTTTCTGCACCCCCCCCCTCGGGCCCTCAGGACTAAGAAAGCTGCCCCAGATCAACCTGACTCCATAATCACACCACTGAGTGAGAGAGAAACAGGGAGCAGCTAAATCCCACACCCCAGACCCGACGAGGCCTGGCAGAGGTGGTACTACCTGAGGGTTCTCCTCTCGTTTTGGTTTAGGTGCAGCAGGCGGGGTGACGGTACGGCTCTCTGCTTGTTTCTCCTCTGTTTCTGTGTGGGATTTAACTGTCTAGGAGAGAATGATTAAATGAAAATTCAGAATTAATTTTTTATTAAAAGAACTTTGGTCAGGAAGAAAATAATGTATTCAAATTTGAAACATTAACAGACAAGTTCATATGACGTAATTTGTTGAGGAAGAGGAAAAAATGTAAAAGTGCAGCTGGAGACAGTGGACTTTAACATGGCAGTAAATATGAACCTATAAATACAATCAGATAAATGAAGTGGCGGTGGGTGATGGCAGCACATGCCTGTAATCCCAGCACTCAGGGAGGCAGAGGGAAGAGGATCTCTGGGTTTGCGACCAGCCTGGTCAATAGAGCAAGCTCCAGGACAACTAAGGCTACACAGAGAAACCCTGCCTCGAAAACCAAACAAACCTCTTTCTGCCATCTTTCCGTGCCGTCACCATGGTGCGCACGGGTGTCCTGGTGGATGCTCTGGAGAGCATCAACAATGCTGAGAAGAGAGGCAAACGCCAGGTCCTCATCGGGCCATGCTCCAAAGTCATCGTTTGGTTCCTAACTGTGATCATGAAGCATGGTTACACTGGTGGATTTGAGATCACTAATGATCACAGTGCTGGAAAAATTGTTGTGAACCTACAGACAGGTTGAACAAGTGTGGAGTGATCAGCCTAGATTTGATGTACAGCTCAAAGACCTAGAGAAATGGCAGAACAATCTGCTCCCTTCCTGTCAGTTCAGCTTCATTGTACTGGCAACCTCAGCTAGCATCATGGACCATGAAAATGCAAGATGAAAACACAGAGGAAAGAGGACCTGGGATTCTTTTTCTAGAGATGTAAAACACATATATAAAGAGCTTCCTTGAACTGTGAAAAAAGAAATACAAACAAACAAAAAACAAAACAAAAGACATGGCAGCCTGATAACCTAACATTTGATCCCCAAGATCCACATGGCAGAAAAAGACAACTACCTTCTCTAACTGCCCCCTGGTCTCCACATGTGTACTATGGCTCACTAGGTGCCATAGTTTTTTGAATACATTTACTTTTTTGAAAGGAGGCAAACCAGGGGTCAGAGGTGAAAGCACTAGCTGCACTTGCAGAGTACCTAGATTTGATTCTTGGCACCTACATGGCAGCTCACAACCATCTGTAACTCCAGTTCCAAGATTCCTATGCTCTTCCCTGGCCTCCTTGGGCACCAGGCATATACATGACATACAGACATAAATTCAGGCAAAATACCCAAACACATGAAATTAAACGGGGTTTAGAAATATTTTTTAAGGGCAAAGAAAAACTAACGTAGAGGTCGTTTTCCTCGACTGTAGGATGTGGAGGTTTCTGAAACACCCCACTGTTGTCTATACGGACCAAGCTCTCTCTGCACGTCCTTATGCTGTGCATAACACGATGCATTTCTTACATCCTGAGCTTTTCTCTGGGGTAATCCCAAAGACTACCTAGAACTACCGTTACTCGGGGTATTTAAAACCTGCCTTGTGAGAGGCTGAGGTTCCGATCATTCCCAAGGCCTCCTGGAAGCACTCACTTACATACGGAGACACCGGTCACATTACTGTCTGCTGACACCGACGGCAGCAAGTACATGGGCAGCCCTGCATCGCTGTTCCTGTGAGTAACAGCTGGTTCTTTTATGAAAATGGTTTCACAACAGTAGACATTAAACTATCAAGACAGACTTAATTTACTTTTTAAAAACTAATAAAAGTTGTAGGTGAAATGGACTTCTTGTAAGGTAACCAACAAGTCATTAAGTAAATTAAAATAAGTGTTTGATTATTGGTGGACAGGAGTTGAATGCAATGTTTTTCAGCCCTATGAAGAACACACCAAAAGTTCTCAAAACCATTATGTTGTGAAACAATGTACTAGAACTGAAAAGGCTTTCACTTTTTTTCCTTGCCTATTTTCATTTGTTGCCTCTGGCTTTGTATACTGTTTAATGGGTAAATATAAGACCTGCTTATCAATGCATGGCAACTACTGCTCTGGGGCCCAGCTGCCGCCTTTATTTTGAAACTGAGTCCTCCATAAGAATCCAGCTGCACTATCAGCAACCTGAGCAGGGGCTGTTTATCTACGCCGTGTTAATGTACTCCATTGAGTCCAGTGTGCACCTCGTGCTTGCATTCAATAAAGCACTGACCTCCGGGAGAATCAATCCAATTTCAGGCTCTTCTTAACCCTCTCCTCCTCCCTCCTCACACACGTAGTTTTTAATTTAGCTCCAAAGGGTCTATTTCCTCCATAAAACAAACCTTCGATGGGAAAGCAGTAATAGTGACATAACTAAGATCTGAGATCCTCAGAATTAGCTTATTTTTATGACTTTGAATGTGGAACAGGGGCTAAGAAAGGTCAACCATAGGGTTGATGTTCCATTCCTATGTGAAACTTTCCTGGACCCTTTCTCTCGTACTTCCATGGGTAAGCAAATACTTGGTGGCAGTGCTCCTGGGCAAGACAACCCCTACCCCAAAACAGAACACACTGAGTGTTGCATGAAAAAGAACAATCCCCACTCCCCCCTACCCCCAGCCCTGTAAACAAACAAACAAACAAACAAACACCCCATCCAAACCAAAATTAAAAAAGCAAAACATTGTGTGGGTGGGGTGGGAGGGTGTTCACTTCTCTCAAGAACCTCTTGCTGTCAGGTACCTAGCACTATGGAAACACCCAAGTGTTAAACCAGTCTCCTGCCCACAATCAGCAAAAAGTGAGGCCATGAATTCTCCGACTAAACTTAGAAGTAAACTGCCCAACTCCAGCCAATTACTTTTGAGAGACTTGGAGCGCAAAGTATCCAACAAAACTGCATAGGAGAAGGCAGAGGGGCGACATTCTTAAAGGGATGAGTAAAACAAACAAACAAATGAAGGAACACCAAAACCACCAAAGCCATCAAGTAACAATCTTATAGTGTGTTAAAACTTTTTTTTTTTTTTTAAATAGGAAAGAGTTTACTGGAGGAAGGTGGAGAGAGAGAGAGACAGAGCAAGACAGAGACATGATGGAGGTGGAAAGAGTGCAAGCGAAGAGCAAGAGTGTTAAAACTATTTTTAAAGAATTAATAATAAACAGGGCATAAGGTTGTACATCTGTAGTCCCAACACTACAGGGGAGGATCTATGTGTGTTTGGGGCCAGCCTGGTCTACAAAGCAAGTTTAGGACAGCCAAGGCTACACAGAGAAACCCTGTCATGGGAAAAAAGAAAATTAAGGATAAAAATAAGATAGATTCAGATAAACAAAAGCTAAGGACATCCACTGCCAGCACACCTGCCTTAAAGAGTGACCAACGGTGTCCTTTGCCTTACAGAAGCTTTCCAGTTTCATGAGGTCTATTCATTAATCTTAGTGCCTGTGCTGTTGGTGTTATGTTCAGGAAGTTATGTCTTGTATGCCACTGCATTCAAGGCTACTACCCACTCTGTCGTCTATCAGGTTTAGTGTATCTGATCCACCTGGACTTGAGTTTGGTTCAGGGTGATAGAGATGGATCTATTTGCATTTTTCTACATACCAACATCCAGAAGGACTGGCACCATTTGTTGAAAATGCTTTCTTTTATCCATGGCATATTTCTGGCTTATCAAAAATCAGGTGTGCCTAGGTGTGTAGATTTACATCTGGGTCTCTGATTTGATTCCACTCATCAACCTATTTTTATGCCAATACCATGAGGTTTTTATTACTATAGCTATGCAGTATAGCTCGAAATCAGACATGGTGATACCTCAAGATGTTCTTTTATTGTACAGGATTGTTTTAGTTATCATGTTTTTTCCCCCAAATGAAGCTGAATAAATATCTGTAATGAGAATTTTGTAGTTTTGTTTTCTTTAAAAAACATACACATACTATAAGAATACATTTTCATTTTACTCCCAGGCGTGGGGACACTGGGCTGCTTCACAGCCAATGACAATGATCTGTCTCATGCTTAGCAGAGATGTGATTTTGCCAGCTTCAGATAGTTTCTGTGATTGTCTGAAGTTTAGAATTCTGGGGACTTCTCAGAGGGTATATAAATACTAGAGCCCCCAATACAAGAGTGGTTGCTGCTGGTTGAAGTTTATTAAGTAGTTGTGTGCAAAGAAGAAACCATAAGAACAAGAATAGGCAGTAGGAAGAGGAGGAGGAAAAGGAGGAGGAAAAATTAGATATCCTGATGGCAAAGCTCAAACTTGCCCCAAGAAGCTACATGCTCCTAATCACCAGGAAGTTGTCTAACAATAACATTGCCCCCTTTCTTCTTTATCCTTCTTTCCTCTCCTATCTAGTATTAGGGGGTTGAAAGGGTGGAAGAAAGAGGAACCCACAAATCAGTTAACTGTCCAGTTACATTGTTTTTTTCAAGGTCTGTAAAGAACTGTATTGGAATTTTGACGGGGACTGCGTTGAATCTGAACCTACTGATAGGATGGCCATTTTTACTATATTAATTGTACTCATTCATGAACATGGGCGATCTTTCCGTCTTCTCTTTTTCAGTTTCTTTCTCCAAAGATCGAGGTTATTGTCATACAAATCTTTCACTTGCTTGGTTAGAGTTATCCCATGATATTTTACATTATTTGTGGCTAATTTTGAAGGATGTTGTTTCCTTGATTACTTTATCAGCCCATTTGTTGTTTGTATTTAAAAGGGCTGCTAATATTTTTGAGTTAATCTTGTATCCAGCCACTTCTGTAAGCATTCCCTTATAGAATTTTTGGGGTCACTGATACATACTATATCATCTAAAAACAGCAATACCTTGACTTCTTCCTTTCCAATTTGTATCCCCTTGTTTTTCTTTAGTTGTCTTATTGCTCTAGCTAGGCCTTCAAGTATGACTATATTGACTAGATATGAAGAGAGTGGACAACCTTGTCTTGTTCCTGATTTTAGTGGAATTGCTTAGAGTTTCTTTCCATTTATTATGATGTTGGCTATAGACTTGCTGTAATTCATCTTTATTATTTTTAGGTATGTCCCTTGGATCCCTAAATCTTCAAGACTTTAAT